TTAATCGTTGGAGATAGCTTTAATTGTGCCAGCTAGGCGGTTTCATTTGCTGAATTTGTACCTCAATTTAAGATGCTTTTTCGTTGTATTTCCCTTCTGTACTTAGTTTACAACGTCTTGTTCATCAGTTCTTTTCTTAAGCATCTATATTTTCTTTCGATTGATTCATAGGTACTCCGTAGTTGTTATTATTCTTCAGGTGAATAAATAAATAGTTTAGTATTGATTCTCCGTCGTACACAAGGCAAGCGCTAAAAATAGCACGTAAAAAGCGAAGATCAAGTGATAAAGTAGCTGTTGATTTAAAGTCGTCAGTAAGAGATTTAAGACTTGCGGCCTGAGATCTCAGAAGTTTGTAAAGGTAGCATAAGAAAAGCTACTGATCGGTACTGTGAAACGTAGAGGTTATCTACGCTCACAATAAATGCAGGTAAGAAAACAAACGTCCAGTAGGGCATCCGATAAGGATACCCATAGTAATTATTGTTTAGCTTTAAAAAATTTGCCATTTAGCCGTGACACGCATTATTTTAATCATGATTTAATGTTGCAGTAAATTATTTTGTGTCAATTTTTCTGTTTTGGTTTTTTACGCTACTGCCAAAGTTATTGTGGAACGAGTTAATTTGGCTGCGAGAAACATGTAGTAGAGTCGTGCGACTTTCTGAGTGGCTGCTACTCTTAACCCGCTTCAACGACAGTTAAAAGCTGCCTTTTTACTAACTCAGTTTCTTAAACAAAACAAACAGGGAACTCTTTATGATGCACGTTATTTGATTGTTTTAGTTAGAAATGATTCTGTCTGAACTTAGCTACTGCGGACACCGACAATTTCATGAAAAAAAAACTTAGAGAGGGCAAAAGACAATCAACGTGCTGTTAAAATAAGTTGCTAAATCTCAATATTCTTTTGCGATTGCAAAAAGATAAAGTGCATTTTATACGTTTCACACAACTTATCCATCCCATCAGGTACTGCACTTTAATAAACCTGCGAAAGTAAGATTGCTATTGACTTATTAGTAGATATAGAATAAAAATTTTTCTGGTGAAACAAGAGAACGCTATTATGAAATGAAAAGAATTGAGTTTTTGGCTTTCGCAGCGCTTTTATTTTGACAAAAGTATTCTCAATGGCCAGTAGCATTTCGGCCCACTTGATGGTGATTTTTTTGTTAATATTCATTACTACTATCAAAAGTTCATTTTTCGTTGCAAATTTATAAAAAGTACACGGTTTTTAGTATACGTAAAGCTAATCCCATAATAAGATCATATCCGCAAATAGCTCATCAATTCTGATTTTCCGCGTGCGGTATAGAAATAAGAAAAAATGTAAATGTGCATTAAGCATTGAATGACCGCTGATTTCTCAGTTACCCGCGTGGTTTTGCTTAGACTTTTTCAAAATTGCTCTCAAAGACTTCACTGTCTTACGCAGTTTTTACACCAACAGTTGTTCACAGCAGCCGTCGTTAAAACTTCCGTAATTCAACCACAAAAAATATGCTGATATATTACTACGCTTTTGAAGCGTTAGTAACTTTCCCAAGTACAAGTATTGAAGCAGTCCTTTTGGAACAGAACATATTCTCGCATATTCTCGTTAAAGTTGCTATATTCAGTGGCAAAGTAAAAGCAATCTAGCGCAGCAGAGATTCTGACGCATTCTACCTCGTTGATTCTTCTTTTTTTTCAATTAAGCAGGACAGTGGAGGTTTACAGAAAAGTTTTTCACTTTTCTCATATTATCGTTTTTAGAAAAATTTTTAAAAATTGCACCTTTTTGAGTTAGCAGCTACTAGTATGTGAGATTTATTCGACGCTTCAGTGTACAATTCTGTCCAGTTTATAAGAGCACCGTGTACGGGTAAATGCAACGTTGTAGTACTACAGCTAAATAATAATCAAAAATCCGAAACTTAGATCCTGTTTTGGTAATCTTGGAGGCTGATGAACTAGTGCACGGTTTGGCTAGCAGTCTTTCTTGGTTGAAAAGTTAGGGAAAGCAATAGTATCTGTTGTGAAATTTTGAACACAGCTTTGCTTTGATAGGTGCTGCAATATTTAAGTGATTCAAGCCATCTTCTTTCTTTGTAATTGCAGAAAAACTGATTCCAATTTGGGCTACGGTCGCTGTAGTTTTCTGTAGCGGATAATTAGGAAAATAGTCTGAAAGTCTCAGTACGGAAGCTCTCAAATAGCGTGGTCGTATTCGCATGCCTTTTATAATAACTTTACGGTCGCCACATACTTTTTGAGTTGTTTATTCAAACTAGTGACTAAGATTCTTGGGAAAACTGAAAACGTTTCGTACAAGTAGCATAATTTGTTTTTATTTCTGGCATCGTTGTTCGCGAATTAGTTCTTGAAAAGTGCTGCAGTATGCAAGCTAATCTTTCAAGTTATATGGGAATTGCTGCAGTTTGGGTGGCGGTAGCTACGGAACCTGTAGCCTCTAATTTGCGAGTTGCTTTTGGGTAAGAATTGCCTGATTTGCGTCTATGACATTTTCTGTTTGCTGCAGTTTTGAAGTCGACGTTGAAAAGATAGTTAGTAGACCTCACTCCAAGTTGCTGTGCTCAGTGCTGCAATCCTTCTCCGAAAACCGCAGATGACTTAATGATGAATTAACTGTGCTCTGGCTATTTTAATATTATCCAAATAATGTTGTGATTTCTAAAACATTTTGTCATGAAGTTTCTGCTTTGCCTTGCTTCCGCACCAGAGCGGCCAGTAATTATGACTTGTCAAGCAATACTTGCCCTAATAAATTGACTTAAAACACTCGTCAATCACGCTTTTAATTTTTTTTAATTTATTGATAAGCTAGGTACAGCTTTAAATTTTGAATTTTATTGCAATTTTGCTAAAGCGTTACGTTTTCTCTGTTGGCTGCTGAAAATAAAATTGTGCGATAGTTATAGAGCAGTTTCAAGGAGTACAGAATGAGAAACGGTTCTTTTAAAAAGGCAAAATTTTTGAACAAGAATTTAAGCAGACATTCAGGAAAAAAGAGTGAGAAACTGTAAGAGTGATACAATACGATTCGTCAAAATTCTCTTTATTTAATTTTGAATTTATCGTTGGACTTTTCTGTTCAAGTTTGAAATTAAACAAAAGATCAAGGAAAAATCTTTTGAAGAAGAATATATAAAGAAAGATTGATACTTGGCTAAGGATTTCGCAGAAATGTATTTCAAAGTTTCGGAACAGACTTTAAAGCATATATATTTAGAAATGCCGTTCTGTGCTTTGCTGCTATATTTTTATACGTATTACATCTACACGGGCCACGATGGTTAAATACAACGCTAAGAAAACTTATGTTTCTTAAAGCATAGGACTGTAATGCATTGAAAAATTACAAGAATAAGACATTATAATATGGGGTGCAAAAATCTGCTCTGCGTTAAGCTTATCTTCTCAGCTGTTGGAGATATACTGATGAAAGTTGTACCTCCTAAAAATACGTTTCATTTCAGGAGAAGCTCAGACTGCTTGATAATCTGCCATGAGAAGACACAGCTTGCACTCTCAGCGAGGAGGCCTGCTTAAACAAATCTATCGCAGCAGAAATTGGTAAAAAACGAGTCTTAATAACCGTTACCGCAACATTTAATTGACGTACAGAAGAATGAGAAATGCAAAATTGAGCATTAAAGTTATATTTTTTGAGTTTTGCAGTTGTGTGAACCAATAATAAGATGATGTTGATGACGATTTTAGAGGGTTTTGTGTTGTGAAGCTTTTCTTCAAAAGAAGCTTCAAAATTTATCTTTTATTTTGAAGCATTTATTTCACCAAAATAATATTCATTTAATAGCCGTTTTCATTTTACACTTTTTTTTTTTATAAATTGCTTATGAAGTATTATTTCCATTTTTTTTCCCAGTGAGAGATTTTTGGAGCACTAACAAAAAATCTCAGACTTTTTGTTAATGCTCCAAAAACTTCTGTTTTTTTTTATTTATTTTACAGATTGCCTGTCTGATGGAAGGTACTAATAAAGGTTTCAAGAAAGGTTTCTTTTTATAAAAGTACTCTCTTGTTTAAAATTATTAAATTTAAAAGTTACAAAATTTATCTGTGTTCTTATTACATAAAGCTCTTAGAAATGACCGCTACACAGATAAAAAAAATACGATGAAGAGGAATAAACAACTGCTTAAATACTTTGTGGCTAGAAAGTTTGAAAATTTTTTATATAGTTGTTTGCTGTAATAGGAATTTATACAACCAGGACAATCAATTACTTCCAGAGTTTATTAATGCAAATAAAAGAGACACTCTGTATCAAAACAATTATTAAAAAATTGAACAGGTAGAACAAAAAAAAAAGAATATTAAATTTCAAGTAAATCAGAAAAAAATAATAAAAGTTGGACAACTGCTAAAACCAAACTTTCTCACAGACTGTGAAATTTAGAAAATTATAACGCAAAAGAAAGTAGCGCTTAAAGCTTGAAACCCGTTACTTCTTCTTGACTACTAACAAATCAGACAAGATAACACTACGATGAAAAAAGTATAAACGTACATTTTTAATACACTCGAGAATCTATAATGATGAGAGGCTTACTAACGGCAAAATTCTGTGAAGTTTCAGCAAATGCTCTATTGAAATGGCGCTCTCTATCTGCTGCAGAAGTCGTTGTTGTTGAAGAGCAAGTGAAGATTCTGTGTAAGCTGATAAGGCTGTTTTTGAAAGTTCAGAAGATAAGTTTCTAGAAGGCAGAGAAATTCGTTCTGTCAAGTTGGTTGTAAATGCTATTTCATCTGACAAGGTTTTTGTTGAGTCCGGAGATTGATTTTCGTAAATATTTGGTGGATTTTTAGTTTCAATTTTAAAAAGCATGTTATTCGCTTCAGTCGTGAGAGCAGCATCGTTAGCGTTCGCAAATTGACGTGCTGGAAGAATTGTTCAGTGACTCTGTCGTTTTAGACCAAAATAACAAAGTGCTTATATGAATAGAAAAAAATATAAATAGTATACAATGTCAAGGTAAACTCTTACTAAAGCATTGCCATTGTGGAGCAGTTATGTTTCCATTATTATTGCAGCTGCTATCAAGTGGTGTTTCTCCAGCCCTTACCCTATAACAAGAATTACCACAGCCACCTTCACTTAGAGGCAAGGCATGCTCAGATGCCTGTCGGATTGGATTTACAACGTTTTGTTGCTGTTTACGCCACCTTGCTCGTCGGTTTTGGAACCACACCTGAAAATTGAAGCATTACAGATTTATGACAATTCTAGCCAAATAAAGAAAGAAAAAAAGCGAAGAAAAAAGATAATATAAAAACATATACAACGTTTGATTTACCTGAACTCTAGCGTCAGTCAAAAGACAACGTTTTGCCAGTTCCATTCTGCAAATAAATCTTTGAGTTAATAAGAATGAAACAGTAAAATCTAAAAATTTGTAGCTGTCTCTGGTAATTTTGAAAAATTTATAAATAGATATATGTTACCGAAGTCCCGCATCTGGGTAATGAGTCAAAGCAAAAGCTTTTTCCAGTTCTTCGAGTTGATAGGTGGCAAAGGTAGTGCGATATCTACGTTGTCGACGCTTTCTACTTTCATCTGCATTAATCGAATAGCGCGTAACATATTCGCCTACTGATGATGATGGTAGAACCTGAGATACAGACGGTGAAGGCGTGCCATGGTGACTGTCTACTGCAAAAACACATGTGAAGTTTTTATCATATCAGCAACAGCATCACCTTTTTAGGCTAATTGCTTCAACTAATATTCCAATATAAAAACCTTGGTCTTGTGTACGACCGTTTGCATGACTTGATTTAATCACGTCGTTTGCTGGGACAGCATTGGAATTGTCGTTCTGCATTACAAAATCCTCTGTTTCTGGTACTTTAGACGTCAAAAAAGCGATTGTAAAAGGTTTTCGAACTGCTGATAGCGAAGGTTTACAATTTTCTAAAAAGTAAAAAAATTAAGCTTTTACAGTTTTACACCGTTTTTTTTCAAAAAAAAAATAGCAAAGTTTATTAAGAACCAGAATTGATGTTAATTAACCTTTTTGAGAAGGCAAAGCATCATTCTGCGCTTCATAAAGAGTATTTTGCTGGCTTAAGTGAGATTTTATCAACGCCATAACTTTTTCCGCTTTTCCTTTCGAGAAGAACGATTGGAATTGCTCGTTATTTGTACTTGATCAGACCAGAATGCGTTATAGGCTGAAACAGGTGCAATTTTTAAAAAAACATTTGCCATCTTATTACTTTTGCTTATTTGAAGAAGGCAGAAAGATCTTCAATACAACGTCTTGAATTCTGTCACTGAGACTGTTGTCAAAGTGAAAAGATCATCTTGGCCACTAAAAATAAGCACAAGCGCAACTTGTAAAAGTACCCTAAGCATATTTGAAACAGATCAACTAAATACTATTTGTAAGAAAAATCTTCAAAACATTGTCTTATGAAAAAACAAAGTCTTTTTTATTTATTTTAGTCGTTAAAAAGTATCAAAAAGTCGTGAAGAAATTTATAAATAAAACAAATGACCAGATAGAACAAAAATTAAAAAAAAATATGGGTAACAAATAGAAATGAGTGAATGGATAGTTTCAGATATGACTTAAAAGTTAAAACTTCAAACAGTCAGTATAAATGTGATCATTTAAGCACTGCATGACTGACACCAATAAAATAACAACTGCTGACAGAATTGGATCAAAAGTTTAGCTGAAATTGTGGTGATACTACAACAAAACATTTGTTCTTAGCAATCTGCTTCCATTTCTGCAACATTTGGAAATTAAAACATTACTTAAACGTAACAGGAAAATTTTTTTCGCAATATATTTGTTGAAAATATTGACTTGAGCATTTGTTGGTTATCGCTTATTTGTTCAAGCTGTTGAGTAAACTGTGAACTTGGACAACTGACACAGCGGTAATGACCGCATTCTGAATTCAAGTTTAGTTTTAAGTCAATTTATTATCACAGTGTTTTGTCAGTTTTGTTATTTGGTGACCTTTAAAAGAATTTTTCCTGTACAAAATTAAGACGAGATAAGGAAGAAACAAACAGATAAGCTGGAATTGTTTTGCTGGTGACGTAGCTTATAAATCCTACAAATGATGTGAATCATCTGCACTGTCGGCAGTCTACGCTTACTACAGATCAAAGACTAAGCCTACTACAATAAAGTGTATAATATAACGTTCAAAAGAAAGAATATTGACCACAATTATTTGTGATTAGAGAAAAAAACTTGACAGTGCAAAAAGTGTTGTATATGTGTAATAATGTTTCATAAAATATTCTGAAATTATGAAAGTAAACATTATGAAACCATTTGTGTAATTTGAACAAACAGAAGAAAAAGCTTAGAAAAAAGTGTTAGCAATAAACTGCGGCAATATCTGTCTTAAACGTTTAGCAAGAAAGGGAAAAATTTAACAAGAGAAAAATGGTTGTTAAATGAAAATAGGAATAGAGTACTGTTTGAGCAGCATACAATTAATTCAATTTTTAAATGTATTTCTAAAAGAAAAAAAATAACAACTAATTATTGTTTGAAAATAGTTGTTTTTTTATTTATCGTGCTAAAAACACAGTATCTAAACTGTGCTAATTGAATCTATCATCTAAGCTATTTCACATAGTATTAGTAAAATTTGTATGCACCACTTGCAGTTTGAACTATCGCAGTTGGTGAACACTGTATCCAACCAATTGTTGATGTGAATCCGTTGGGATTTGATCACGTCAAAACCACAGATTAACCTTTAATCTGTCTGATAGTATTACTTAAAGAAATTTATTTTCATTTAACAGCACACAGAGTATTTACTTATTTATTCATTTTTTTTTTTGGTTAGTCTTCTCAATGTAATTGAATAAACAGATTTTTTTTTTTTTTTGAAAATTAAACAAGACGAGAAAGCAAAAAACAAAATGTGATTTATACAACTGTAACGTAAAAGAAAAAAGAAGGCAAATTTTTTTTTTTGAATTATAAATTGATAGTTTCAAATAATTTTTTGTTGAATTTTATTAATCTAAAGTTGTTGCTGTTTTTAGCCGATAACATTATTGTTGCTAATATTGTTTTTTTTTTTTT